AAAAAAATATTTAGTTTGTTATGAGTTCTAGGACCAAATAGCTAACAGCATGGCTGCAGATCACTGAAGCCAAAAGAGGATTTTTAGGAAGAGGCTCCAACTCAATCCAATTTAACTTCACTTATGCAGCAAAGAATATCTATATATATATAAAAGTCTAAGAGACTGGCTGACTGGTGACCAGTAGCTATGATGCGCACTGACCAATAGGGGACAGACGCTCAATGCAGAAGCTGCTGAGCTGCAGTGATTTGGCAGCTGCAGTTCTCTGATGATGCACCAGGAACCAGAGAGGAGGGGGACTGATCCCTGGGTGCTTCACTTGAGAACTGCTCTCTTGCATTCTGGAACCCCTCAGGGGATGTCAGAGAGCCCATTTCAGCCCGATCCCCACAGGCTAGGCTAAGGGGACCCTACCGGTGCACAAATCCGTGCACCAGGCCTCTAGTGGACAAATAATTCCAAGTGAAGTAGGAGGATGACCAGAAACTAAAGAGAAAGCTTCAAAAAGGAGAGTAGTCAACAATATAAAAAAGCTGCTAAAAAGTCATGTACGAGAAGGACTGAGTCCATTAGATGCAGTGAGACAATGTCATGGGTGATACTAGTGAAAGCTGTTGTGCTCTGACTCTGACCCACTGTGGGGTCTGAAGGAAGATTAGAGTGATTTTAGAGTTAAAATAATGAACTTTATTAAAAGCAATAATAAAGCATCTGGGAAACAAGTCCAAGTAAGAGATTAGAGTTCTTAACAATTTTTCAACTGTTTTGGTATAAAACCCATCTTACTACTACTGGGATCTTTTCATTTCAGGGCTAAATGACATTTTCTCTTGTTACTGAAACTGTAGGGAATCATGGGGAATTATATATACTGAAGTTCTTATTTCATATGAAGATCCTCAGACAACTAATTGTAGGTTAGCAACTTTTGTGGGTACAAATGACCATTAGTGGTAGAACTGGGAAATCAAACATCTTAACCTCTGAAGTAGAGATACCAATCACTTCCTCTACCCAAAACCCTTTCTTGAGGAACATGCCTACCCAAAGCCCCCAAAACAGACTTTAATATAGTGATTTTACCTATAGTCATATCAAATCAGGCTGCAGTGGATATCTGACCCAAGTTTGGCCAGATTCTCTCTCTAAATTGTGGCAGAGAAATGAGTCAGATCTTAGAGAGTGAGCAGGCTTTATGATCATGCAAACTCAAAGGTGGTTGTGGCCTTTTTTTAAATAAAGCTGTTAACAAGAAATTAAGAACGTATTTATGAAGAGAAGCCTAGGGAGAAACACGTAGCCTCATTAGACACATAAAAACAATATACCCGTATTTTCTGGTGTATAAGACGACCCCCTAATTTTACAGTTAAAACATAGGTTTAGGCCTAGATTCGCTGTATAAGACTACCCCCCACTTCAAAGAAAAGACTTACTTTGCCGTCAAGATCTGCAGGTAATTTTTGTGCAATTTTGGTCTTTTGCCCCCGATTTCCGGTTGACTTTTTTTCATTTCAAAAGTCGTCTTATACTCCGGAAAATATGGTAGCTTTGGCCAAGTAACTCAGTTGGTTAAAGTGTCATTCGATATGTCAAGGCTTCGGGCTCAATCCCGGGTCAGGGCACATATAAGATTACACCAATGAATACATAAATAACTGGAACAACAAATCAATGTCTGTCTGTCTGTATGTCTCTCTCTCTCTTTCTCTCTCCCCCCTTCCTCTCTAAAGTCAATCAATAAATAAAAATTTTGAAAGAATACAACAGAATCTCATAATTTTTCCTTTCCCTTTCATTTTTGCAAAGTGAGTAGCTAATAAAATGAGAGAGAAAAATTAACTCTCTCTTTACAAAATGAAAAGGAAAAGAAAAGAAACACTATTTAAACAGTGAGCACTTACACTCAATGAGCACAGTGAGCATAAAAGTAGGGAGCAATGAATCGTGAGAATCAGTTCCCATGTGCCTCCTGCAATATCTGCTGCTCACTGAGTGAAGTTTACAGATACAATATATATTTTACCTGTACCATGGCTCCAAATGCAAGCCAGCTGTCTTATGTAGTGGTCAACCAAAAACAACCCACTATCCAGTATTTTATGAGAAATTAAAGTATTTTAAAAATGACTATTTGAACTGCATCTAGACTATTATTGTAAGAACCTGACCTCCACTTAAGATACAGCTCCTCTGTAAATGCCTAACAATTTTCCAGCTCTTACTGGCCAAACTGAAGTTCCTGTAATCATACTCTAAGAAGTTCCCTATGAACTTTCTAGTGTCCCTTACTTTTTCTTTGATCTTTTCGAGTAGGCTTGTGTTCCTTATACTCAGATGTTCCCTAAGGTATCCTCCTTCTATTTACAGAACAGTAAAAGGCAGTAAAGCACTGTGGTTAGAGTTTTAGAATCACACAAGATCTCTATTGTAATCATGACTCCATCACTTAATAGTGCTGTGACTTTGGAGACATCATTCTACCTTTAAGAATCAATTTCTTCATTTGTAAAATGGAGGTAGTGCTGCCTATACTCATAATCCCATTCTTAAGATTAAATGAGATAATGTATATTAAGAACTTGGTTGGTATAAACTGACATAATTACCAATAGTAATTATTAGATGGAATTCTTGCTGAATTCAATCTGTCATAACTTTTTCATATGGCTCCATCAATAGCTCTAATTTCCATACTTTTATAAAGTTTATGCAAGTTAACAAATTTACTAACAAGTAGGGTTTGTATGAATCACAGACTGCTTTTCTATGTTTTCTAGACTCACAACATTAATTAACTATTTCTAGATCAGTTTTGGGACCAAATAACAATATTCTCAATAGTGCCATATTAACTTTAACAGTGTTATACATTCTTCCCACCCCCTAACGTCTTTTTCTTTCCAAATTTATTTAAAATAGTGAGCTGCTAAGTAAGTTTCATTTAAGAATAAAGAGCTATAAAGATTATAACTCATGTTCATGAAAATAACTCATAGCAAATAAAAATTGCTGACATTTCTACTTTTTGAGAGCTAGAGCTCTCAAATCTTTAGCAAATTTGCATTGGTCATAAGAATGGATTTTTAGCCGAGACCAGTTTGGCTCAATGGATAGAGCGTCGGCTTGGGGACTGAAGGGTCCCGGGTTCGATTCCAGTCAAGGGCATGTACCTTGGTTGCGGGCATATCCCCAGTAGGGGGTGTGCAAGAGGCAGCTGATCGATGTTTCTGGCTCTCTATCTCTCTCCCTTCCTCTCTGTACAAAATCAATAAAATATATTTAAAAAAAAAAAAAAGAATGGGTTTTTTAAAATTGCATCTTAAAATAACTCAAAGTTCATTTTAGATCAAATTCTCAAAACCTATTATCTTGCTTTTTGTTAAAACTATTTTTAAAAACTGGTACTTTAAAACTTTCATATCTGCCTTTTCATAGGAGCGTATATAGGAAAATGGTCACTGGATCAACTGCTGGTAAACAGATACTTTATATTTGGATAGTATGTAATAGCTTTCAAAATATTCTTAAAGGTATTTCACTTAATTCTTACAACAGATGAGTCAACATGTTAGCTTTTATTTCCATTTTATAAAAATAAAATTCAAGATCAGTAAAGTAACCACTTATGACATTAGGACCTAAATTTTCTGACTTCTAGTTTAAAACCCTTTCCACTTCATCACTTTGCCTCTCATTTGGATCATTTACCATACTGTATAATTAGGATCTGAATAACAGTTATTGTCAAGAGGGGGGAAAAGAACATTAAAATGGGGTACAGTGGATAAAACAGGAAAAGTTTTAATTATATTTTGTACTTGAGAATGGGTTTTATTATACCAATGCTTAATTTTTTAAGAATTTAACCAAAGAGAAAGCGTGAGAGGTTATGAGGAAATAGAGACACAGACACTTTATTTGCAAGTATCCATGGATGTGTGCACAGCACTTTTTTCTTGTCTTAAACTTCTGTTTGAGTCACAGTAGCAAATAATAGCTTCTTGAGAAGAAGAATTCTGCTTGCAATTATGCCTTCGGGAAATGGTTTCACAATCCTTACCATATTTTACAAATAAGTAAGGTTATAAAAAAAGGATTCCTTTTAGCTAGAAATAATAATTTCTAAGAGAAACTCAGATTTTTCAGAACCAAATAGAAAGTTAAGATACATGGCCTACCCTGGCCAGAATGGTTCAGTTGGTTGGAATGCCATCCCATACACTGAAAGGTTGAGGGTTCGATCCCCGGTTGGGATGTGTACGGGAGACAACTGATTGATGTTTCTCTCTCAACTGATGTTTCTCTCTCTCTCGCTCCCTCTCCCTTTCTCTCTCTCAAATCAATAGAAACATATCCTGGTGTGAGGATTTAAAAAAAGAAAAGATACATGGCTAAATATCCATCTTTACTCACATATAGAATCTGTAAGACCTCTTATTTTGGCAAGAGGAAAGAAGAGTTTTAAAAAGAGTAATGATGCCCTTTCAAATTAAAAAATAAAAGGATGAGTGTGAGAAGAAAGGTACTGTATAGTGAGCTCAAGCCTGGTTTGAATTAATAGCATTTTCCTAAGCCTAGTTAACTGGAGAATAAAGTAAAGCATTCAGGTCACAACAGATGAAATCATAGACATCTAGGGATTCTCCTCAAAGTCAGAGTCAATAAAACATGTTCTTCCTTTAAAACTTTTCCCCATCTGAAAAAGCTTTAATAATTTGTTACTGTGACTTAAACAAAAGAACTAAGGAAGGGGGAAAATGTCCCCCTAATATAACTTTCCCAAACTCATATATGCACACGCATATGTATTATTCTTGAATTCATGTGGTAAAGAATTTCCTTCTAACTATATATTACCCAAAGGTCTATAGTACTTGGTGCCAGAATTTAAAATAAGGTATAATAAGCTCTATGTATATGAACTAGTATAATTTGTTTTTCATTCATTTTCTTTGTGTGATAACCTCTTATACTACTTAAGTCTTAATATTTACCTGAACCTCTGAATTGGAGTCAATAGGCTGCAGTGAAAACCAAGTCTCTTTACCACTGTGGCTACACAAGTCTTCTTTTTTGATGGCTACTTTCCCTATAAGAAATAAGTAAAGCCATGAGGAGACATTTTGTGTAATTCTTAGCACTGTTATATTTTAATATTTTTCAGAAATAACTAAGATAATTCATACCTATTAATATTAAAAATACATTTTTATAAAGTATTTTTCTATATTTTAAAGATTGAAAAGTGTTCATTTTTCTTTGCCCCTTGGCAGGCCCTTCTCTGGGTCATTTTGAATTAAGGGATTAGAAAAAACTCAGTTGTATTTATTAGTACATGCAATTGCATTTTTTAGTATTTATTACACTCATGTTTTTACCCAAAATAAAATCATTGCAATATGCAATATACAATGATAGTACAAACGAATCCTTCCAATTCTTATGCTATGAATAAAACGTATGTTTTATATTTACATTTAATAAGAGCTTATAAACCCAGAGAAAAAGAAAAACATCATACATCACTGACAATATTGAAAATTAACTTAAAGTTATGAAAAATTAAAGCCATGATATTAAAATTTTGTTGTTATCAAAATATTGCAAACACTGCTTATGCTGCTTAAATGCATATAAAAAAATCAAGGCAGTTCCTAAAAGAGTTTCTACCTCTCAGAGAAAGAAAGAGTACAATGAATAAAGTATTATGAAGAGGAAGAAACAGAAATGTTCTTATTATAATGAAGTATTTGCCATGTTGGTGCCAAGCATTTCCTTCCTCAATTCAAGTTTTAAGAAGTAGACATAGTTTTGCATATTACTGACAACTTATTCGAAGATTCTACACAAAACTTCAACAAAGTATACGCACTAAAAATAAAAAACGGTTCACTTTCTCTTATATATTAAAAATATATAATAAACATATATACTCTGTTAATATACTAAAAAACACACACAATGAGTTATGGTATGTGAATTACATCTCAATAAAGATGTTATTAAAAATTTAACAGTATTGCCGAAACTGGTTTGGCTCAATGCATAGAGCGTCAGCTTGGGGACTGAAGAGTCCCGGGTTCGATTCCAGTCAAGGGCATGTATCTTGGTTGCGGGCATATCCCCAGTAGGGGGTGTGCAAGAGGCAGCTGATCGATGACACTCTCATCGATGTTTCTAACTATCTCTCTCCCTTCCTCTCTGTATAAAATCAATAAAATATATATTAAAAAAATTAACAGTATTAAAAACTTTGATAAGCTTAGCTTCCTAGTCATGATTGGAACTCAGATTACAAAGACTACCTGTATATGTATGTATAATTTTAAGAAAAATATTAAAATTCACAGCCACATATACTTTCACAAATGGCAATTATACAATCAAAAAGAGAGCTATTGAAAATTCAGTAGCTATATTTATTAACACTTTTAAAATTTAAAAGTATAAATCTTGCCAACTTTCTTTTAAATATGTTGGATGAAATCTAATGTGAAGGTTAAAATCTTCATCTAAATATATAGCATTTATAACTCATTCAAATCTTGTAGGAATTGATACTAGGAAAATAATATATTTCAGCCTTTTGGGAGGGTTGTATTTAAGATAGAAATTAATGGGAAAAAAGGAAATTCTTCCAGTACTAAATATACAGATTACAAGCCAAATACAGAATTCAAGCACTAATTGGAACACCCAAATATTCTTCATGCTGCTGAAGAAGTTTAGGTTAAGAGCCAAATCATATAAATGTCTTGATATGTTTTACCCACAGATTCTATCAAATTCCTTATAAATCAATATAATACCAAGAATGGCTTAGTATATAGAATTATGACAAAGTATTCAATATTGTTTCATCACATATGACTAAGATGATCACAGTTCTATCAAGTGGATTACTTATCATTGTTCACACCAGATGTAAGTATTAAGGCAATATATAACAGCTGAATACACACACACACACACACACACACACACACATTGATCTTATATATCCTAGAGCTGAAGTTCACATATTTTGAGGACCACTCACCTCCGTCTTTAAGAATCTTATTAACTATGAATATTTTCTGTCCTCTCCCCAGAAAAAAATACACAGGTATTATCTGGCATAGAATTTTTTTAAAAAATAAACTTTTATTGTTCATATTATTACAAATGTTCCTTTCCTCCCCCCCTCCATTGCTCTCCTCCACCAGGTTCCCATTCCACCCTCTGCCCTTTCCCCACCCCCCATTGTCCTCATCCATAGGTGCACAGTTTATGTTCAAGCTCTTCCCACATCCCCCTCTCCTCTTTTCCCCAAGAATCGTCAGTTCACTCCCCTTCCATACCTCTGAGTCTATTATATTCAACAGTTAATATTGTTCATCATTAAATTTCCTTGGTTTTTTGATTCACTTGTTGATAGTTACGTATTTGTTGTTCATAGTTTTTATCTTTATTTACTTTCTCTTCCGAAAGAACCCCCTTCAGCAATTCATATAATTCTGGTCTGGTGATGATGAACTCTTTTAGCTTTTTTTTTATTTGTGAAGCTCTTTATCTGGCCTTTGATTCTGAGTGATAGCTTTGCTGGGTAGATTATCTTTGGCTATAGGTTCTTACTATTCATCACCTTGAATATTTCTTGCCATTCCCGTCTGGCCTGCATGGTTTCTGTTGAGAAATCAGCTGACAATCGTATAGGTGCTCCTTTATAGGTAACTACCTGCTTTGTTCTTGCTGCTTTTAATATTCTCTCTTTGTCTTTTGCTCTTGGAATTTTAATTATAATGTGTCTTAGTGTGGTCCTCTTTGGATTCCTTTTGTTTGGAGTTCTATGCGCTTCCTGGTCTTGTAAGTCTAATTCTTTCACCGGTGGAGGAAGTTTTCTGTCACTATTTCTTTCAGTATGTTTTCAATATCTTGCTTTCTCTCATCTTCTGGGACCCCCATAATTCTGATGTTGGTTCGCTTGAAGTTGTCCCAGAGGTTTCTTACATTATCTTCAATTTTCTGGATTCTCTTGTCTTCTTGCTTCTGCGGAGAAGTGTCTTCTGGCTCTTTATGTTCCAAATCTTTGACTTGATTCTTGCAATCTTCCATTCTGTTTTTAGGACTCTGTATAATATTTTTTATTTCAGACAATGTATTCTTTATTTCTTGTTGATCCCTTATCATTTCTCGTTGATTCCTTATTAATTCTAGTTGACCCCTTTTCATATCCTCATAGGTCTTATCGACCTTTTCTAGGAAATTCTTGAAAAACCTTCAAAGCGTAGATTTGAACTCTATATCCAGTCGCTTTTTGTCCTCCATTTCTTTAGTTTGTGATCTATTTCGCCTAGGCATTTCCGCAGCTTCCCTGATGGGGCTGAGTTTCAGGGTGGAGCCTACAGCCTTGGCTTCCGTCAGCCCCGCCCTATGCGGCTCCTGAGACTCAGGGTCCTTCAGTACTTGCTGCAAGCACCTCTGAGAGAAAGGTGCCCTCGATTTTCGCCTGCTACCAAACAGTCTATGCTCTCCCCCAATGAGCCCGGCACTGGGGTTCAGTTCAGTTGGAAGTGGGATTGGAGGTGGCGTTCAGAGCAGTCTGGAGCCCCAGTCTCCTTCTCACCAGGGCAATCTCGCGGCACAGTCAACCAGGAGGGGGAAGTTTTCTGTCACTATCTCTGCGCGCAATGTGCGAGCCTCCAGGACCTCCTTTCGTCGCTCCCCCGAGGTTCCGCCTCGCAGCCCAGCTCCCTCTGTGTGAGCCTGGGTTCCCGGGGTCTGGCCTAGAACTGGGGTTCAGAGCAGTCGGAACTGGGGCCCAGCACAATCAGAGCTTTTATCTCCTTCCCTCTAGGGAACACCAGCCAGGCAATCAGCCGCCCCTCCTCTCCGGCTCCGTCCTCTCCGCGAGCCGCATGTCTCTGTACCTTAGGCTTTTACAGCTCCTCCGCGCTTCCTTCTGGCCTTCTCCTTGCTTCTAGTTGTAGAATTTTCAGTCAGTCGACTTTCCTGTAGTTCTGGGTAATGTCCATTTTATATTTTAGTTGTATTTTATTGAAATAGTTGTGTGTGGCTGCGGCTAGTTGTTTACCTGTGCAGCCATCTTGGATTCTCCCCTTGGCATAGAATTTTAAGAGGGTTTACCCACCAGCCAGAAACTGGCTGGTCTGTCCTGATTAAGATCCCTATTCCTGCCCTGGCCAGTGTGGATCAGTTGGTTGAGTGTTGTCCTGAGCTCTGAAAGGTCAAGGGTCCAGTTCCAGGTAAAGGCACATACCCAGGCTGTGGGTTCAATCCCCAGTCAAGGTATGTGCAACGGCAACTGATTGATGTTTCTCTCTCACATGGATATTTTTCTCTCTCCCTTCCTCTCTCTAAAATAAATAAAAATATTTTTAAAAATTCCTATTTTAGCCGAAACCAGTTTGGCTCAGTGGATAGCGCGTCGGTCTGTGGACTGAAAGGTCCCGCGTTCAATTCCGGTCAAGGGCACGTACATTGGCTGCGGCACATCCCCAGTAGGGGGTGTGCAAGAGGCAGCTGGTCGATGTTTCTCTCTCATCGATGTTTCTAGCTCTCTATCCCTCTCCCTTCCTCTCTGTAAAAAATCAATAAGATATATGTATTTTTAAAATTCCTATTCTATAATTTTCAGGATTTCTAATTTCATAGATAATTTATGAATATGTATGTAGGTGTAACATGTGTACACATATAATATATGCAAACATCACTAAAGCAAGCTCCAAACTTAAAAATAAGCTTTAAAAATTTTTTACTTAGAAATTTACTGGTTTGATTAATGTATACATTCAACAAATAATCACAGTGGCAGTGCTTTAAATGGTGACTTGATTTCCAGACTCTCCTAACCAAAATCTCAGTGTAATTCTTAGCACTGCTATATTAATACTTTTACATACTATCCAAACATAATACTCTTATATTATTAACCAATTATTACTAACCAATGTATAATTATTAACCAATAATGCATATAAAAACTATAGTAGGAATCTACCAGTTCTATTTATGACTCACAATTCCAGATCACTGGAAATACATCTTTACTTACAGGTGCCTTCCCAAAAGAGAATCTTCTCAGTT